CAGCAATGTAGAGACAGGGCAAAACTGATTGGGCTTGCATATCTAACTTTATTTAGGAAGATCAAGGAACAAGGAAATAAGCATGGAGCCAGAGGTGGTTTAGTGCTTAGGGTTGGGCTGATTGGATATTGCATTCCTGGTCCAAGGAAGTATTTATGAGAATGTGCAAGATCAGTTTGCAGCACCTTCAACAGAGCAGTCCCATCTTGGGCCTAGACATTTATTTCCACAGTCCACCCTTTTGGTCATCCTCTTGGCCACTCTAGTGGTTTGATGAAAACCATTGGCCTTAGTCTGAGTCAGTTATCATTGCATCTTTGGGTCCCAGTGTGGTGTTCACAGGAGAAAACATCAAGTTCAAATTCTAGGAGCTGGCTATGTCCTCTGGTCTCTTTCATCATCCTAGGCCATGAGAGACCAACCACTGCCTAGTCAATGGCTGCCCACAGGCATTTAAAGCTTTTGAGAGAATGCATGTATTGTGAAGACAACAATTTTTAACAAGAAGACAATGTCCATGGCTTGAATGCTCCTGAGTGGGGGTCCCCATGAACCAGCTAAAGTCAAATAAATCAAGAAATGATCCACAAGAAGGAGATACTGATCTTCTCAACTTACAATGTGCTTACAGCCTGGTAAACCCATTATAAGCTGAAAATGTCACAAGTCAAACATGCATCTAATACACCTAACCTACCAAACATTGAAACTCAGCCTGAAAAGAAAGTGAAAGTGATTCGCTCAGTCGTGTCCAACTGTTTGGGACTCCGTGGACTACAGCCCACCAGGCTACTCTGTCCATGGAATTCTCCAAGCAAGAATATTGGAGCAGATTACCATTCCCTTCTCCAGGGGATCTTCTCCACCCAGGGATCAAACCTGGGTCTCCCGCACTGCAGGCAGATTCTTTACCATCTGAGCCACCAGGGAAACCACCTCAAGTGTGTTCAGAACACTTACAATATCCTGCAGTTGGGCAAAATCATCTAACGCAAAGGGCCTGCTTTATAAGAAAGTATTGACTTTCTCATTTAATTTATTGAATACTTTACTGAAAGTGAAACAGAGTGGTTGTGTGGGTCCAGAACAGTTGGAGTCTGTCAGTGTTCACCCTTGTGTTGAGTGCTAATAGGGAGTGTCAGCTGCTGCCTGGAGCCACGAGAGAGGATTAGAATATCTGTTTGGACATGAAAAGGAATTTCATCCAGAAGAATAAATATAACATATTTAAAAATAAAATTTAGGAAAGAATAGAGAGGATGGCTCTTACCTAACAGACATGAAAACATTATATTTCAAATGGAGTAGCTGGCACAGAAAAATGAACCCACCTAGATTCATCACTGACATGCAGAAAGCAACCCCTGATGCTGTGGGAACGATAAGCTTTGTCTTTTGAAGCAGTTCTTGGAAGATCCATGGGAAAAACAAAAAAAAACCCTAATCACCTCATTTGAAAAAATTATGTTAGACTCTTTGAAGACACCATCTAAAACTAAAACCTGTTGACATTCTAACTGGAGACGTGAGATGCTTATGTGACAGACTTCAGTGGCTTCATGTGTTGTGTGCTGTTCTAAGTGTTTACAGACATGAACACACAGGATTCCCGGGACCCCACAAGGAAGGAGCTCCCTGGTTGTTGGGGTCCTTTAATGGACCAGAACCTGGTGGTACAGAGTCGACGATAAGAAAGTAAAAGAGAGAAAGGGAGAGAGAGACAAAAAAGACCCAGGGACCTAAGCTCTGATGGAGCAAAGGTGCTTTAATGATTTTTCTATGAGTATATATAGGCTGTGGTACAAGAAACTTCTTTCGGGAATGATACAACCGTTACCAAGGGAACAAGGGGTAATGTTAGTCACAAGGTCAGGAGACAATCCATATCTCAAGAAAGGGGAACGAGACTAAGCAGTTTTGTCCTAAAGAGAATGTTTACTAAAGGAGACCCAAGCCTGCCTCACACAATGACCTCAGTCCCTGGGAGCAGTGTGCTGTTCCTCTTGAAGAGGGACAAAGGACTCATGAGAGACAGCACGTAGGCATCCTCCCGTTAAACACTCCCTGACACCTGGTCCCTCCCCACCACCCCGAACACCTTCAGCTCAGCACAGCAGGGAGCTGGGAGGTCACATGGCCAGTAGAACATTCACCCAGCTTCCCTGGGCATCATCCCTTCTGTGCCAGTGCCCACAGGCACCAGCCCCAGACCCACTGCATGTAACAAATCCCTCAAACACTGGGAGGTGCAGTCCAGCCATTTTCTCTTGCTTGGGGCTCTTGTGGGACTGCAGTCAGGTGACAGTCAGAACTGCAGTCCCTGGTGAGTCCAGACGGGCTGGACATCCATGGTGACCCAGGTACCTGGCGGCAGGTGATGTCAGCTTTGGCTGCAAGCCCCTCTGGGAACCTTCTCATCGCTCCCCCCAGGGCAAGTGTCTAAGGGAACTCAGGGAAGAAAGCTTTCTCTGCAGCCCAGAGGTCACAGGGCCACTTCCTCTGCAGTTTTTGGTGGAAGGAATGACAAGCCCATCCAGAGTCAAGAGATGGCTTCCAAATCCCACCTCTCAACGCAGAGTGTCAGCATGTCAAACGACTGCAAAATATAAACAGGTCAATGAGCGTTCGTCCAGAGCCAGGCACTGGGCTAAATCTATTTATATGAAGACTTTCACTTAAATTATACACAAAGAGAAAACCCACAGTCCCCAAATGGCGTCACGTGTGCTAAACCCCAGGATGCAAAATTTAGATTTAACATCTCACGTAATTGTAGTCTCACCTTCCTCAGAAATGTCACTTTAATCAACAACATGGGATTTTCTGCTCAGCACCATGAGGTCACCTGTTGTGTGGGAGGTCCAGAGGAAGAGGCAACCCACACGGTAAAACCTATGTCCTCCCTGCTCCCTTTCCTGGCATCTGGGCCCAAAATACCGCCCCCCTCCCCCACACTATTTTTTGCTGAGTTCCTTGCCCATTCTCCTCTCTATAGAAGCTTCTGTGTTCTAGGACTCCTCTGCATGCCCTTAGGTCTCTCCATGAGATGCTACCACATTCATGAGCCCTTGGGTGAAATCAAGACCTTCAAATTCACTCAGTTGAATCCAGCTTTTTAGCCACATTTTTAATTATGTTTAAAATAAATAAGCCTAAAAGTACAACCATGCAGATGAATGTTGCAGGAGCTGCATTTCCTCCCCATACACACTGGTCTGGGTGGCCTCCTGATCAGCAAGCCTTCTCGGTCACCCCACCGACAGTCCCGCCTGCTCCCTGGGGACTTGGAGTGGTGCTAACCTGCATCCTGAGGTGTGGGTTGCATAACAGGGGACTGGGTGAAGACAGGTGAGCCAAGCAAAGCACACCCCGACCTAACTGCCCTGACTTCCACAAGAACAGGGCATTGGAAGCATCACAAAGGGATGACTTTATGGGAAGTCAGCCTGGATGCTGGCTGACTTGTGGAAAGTCAAGATTTTCCACCCAGGAGAGTCTCTGCAGGGAGGCTGCCCCAGCCTTTCCTTCCATGTCCACAAGTCCCTTGACTCCCTGTAGGGGCCAGCCCCAGGTCAAGATCTGGCCAGTGCAAGGCCTGTGGACAACCTTTCACTCCTCGATTTCCAAAGCCCTTTTGTTAGGTCCCATCTGGGGTGAGAAAGCTGTGTTATGCACTACATGAAGATAGAGACAGGGGAGGCCCTTGGGGCCCTGTGAGTCAGGAAGCAGCAGGTGGGAGGGAACCCTCTGCCTGGCATCCCAGTTCTAGTTCTGTAGATGCACCATGGCACCTAGGGTGCTGGCCTTAGAGCCACCTGCGTGAGTCCTGTTTGTCACTTTGCCTTCTGGGGACAGCATGGCACAACAGGAGGGCTGGTCAATGCTGCCCTGAGTGTGGCGGGCATCTGGGAACAGCCTCTGCAAGGGCAGCCTGTGAAGAAGCGTCAACCTTGGGGTGAACGGTCAACATGAGGGCGGGGAGCAGGACTGGATCATTCCCAGCTGGGGGCACTAAATATCCACTCTGCCACCCAGTGATGGTGACACTGACAGGTGACATCTCCTATCGATTAAACACTCCTTAGGAAAAGAAGAAAGTCCACTGTGTGTCTTAAGTTCTACACGCCTTCTGTGGCAAGCTGTGCTAAGACTTTTCACCTGGGAGCCCAGAGAAGGGCGGGAGGGGTGTGAATGAGTAAAATCCCTATAGATTCCACAGCTCCTGAAACGTATCCAGGAACCTCTCCTAGTTCACTCCCAATTCTGACCTTGACTGACCTGGATTCTGATGGGTACTCCCCCCGCCCCATTTCCATCAGTTACACATATTTTTAGTCTTTGTCTTTTGCTAGGTGCCCAGAGTTGTTTGTGGAAAGAGGATGACATAAGCCATTTCTTATTTTGCTTCCAGGGAACATGACCTGTGAGTCATCCCAGCCATCTGATCATCAGCACATGCGCAGCTCCTCAGAGGGTGGCGCATGCCTCGGGCTCCATCACACTCCCCGGCCCTCCTGTCCAGCGCCAGCGCACGGTCCGACATTTTGCAAACACAGCAGCCAAGTCTCTGGGGTCAGCAGCTCAGGTCCCCTGCTCTCCCCTGTCTGACCATCAGAAGTCACCAAAGCTGAAGGTCCAGCTCCCAGCCATGCCCGCTTCCCATCCCCTGCCTGCCCTCAGAGCCAGTGAGAGGGGGAAAGTAATAGCGTCGACCCTTGCTTCTTTCTCAACCTTCTGAGACAGTGAGCAACTCAATGAGTAGCTGCTGTTACATTTTTATTGAGTAAAATAGCAGAGCACCGTGCACTTGGAAAGCAATTAGAAGAAAGACACGAATTAGAGCCCCCTGGCAGATCAGACAATGCCCAAGGAGCCTGTGTCTGCGGGGGCAGCATGGGGCGGGCACGGTTTCAGTAGGCAGTCACCCACCACAGGTGTGGGCGCTCTGCAGGGGTGTGAGTGAGAGGCGGTCAGTGGCCTGCCTGACACCCAGTCCCCTATTAATCCTGGCAGCTAAACTTCACCAGGTTGATGGTGTTCATCCATGGGACGACATAAACCTGGAAGGAGCACAGCTTTTCCTATGAAAGAAAAGAGGGGAACAGTGGGTTAGGGTTACAGTTAAAGACTGAGATGCACCCCCCCAGCCCCTCTCCCCCAGAGCGCTGGCACTGAGACAAGTCCAGAGGGAGGACCCAGGGACTGGGATACAGGTCCAGGAAACCCCCGCAGAGGTGGGGCCTGGGAAGGGTAACCAAAGAGTGCAGCCCTCCTTGAGGCCAAGACCCCTGAGAACCAGCCAGGCCCCTGGTAGTGCCTGGGCTTTGGTGAGTGGGCAGCATCTCAGGTTTCAGCACGGTTCAGGTCTCTGTGTGAGTACGTGTTAAGTCACTTCAGTTGTGTCCAACTCGTTGCGACCCTATGGATTGTAGCCCGCCAGGCTCTCCTGTCCTGGGATTTTCCGGGCAAGAATATTGGAGTGGGCTGCCATGTTCTCCTCCAGGGCATCTTCCGACCCATGGACCAAACCCCCGTCTCTTATGTCTCCTGCATTGGCAGGTGGGTTCTTTTCCACTGGTGCCACCTGGGAGACCCTTACAAGCCTCTAAAGCCTTCTAATCTGTCTGGGGTGGCGGTGGGGGACATGGATGGGATTAAAGGGCCCTTTCTTGCTCCCTAGCAAACACCCGCAGCTGTGTCCTCCATCCGGCAGGCAACAACCCCCAAAGCACATGGTGCCCCGATTCCCCAGTGGAAACCCCCATAGACACACAGCCATCATGTGCACACATGCATCCTTCCCCATCACACCCCCAGCCGCAGCTGTGACATATCCCCAAGGGCACCCCCATCCCTGCCCTCAGCAGGCACATACCCTCTTCAGGTGCGGCTGGTCATGGAAGGGACAGTTGTCTAAGTTGGCCTGGGACTTGGTACATGTAGTCCGGCCAAGCTCCACGTCCAAGAAGTAGTTCATTCCCGACACGACCTGGACATGGGGAGAGCAGACACACTTAGCACACCCTGTGACCGCAAACATGCATGCACACACACACACACACACACGTGGTTACCTTCCTCCCACCACACCCCAAGTCCATGGTCACAAGTTGCCAGGGCTGCACCCTGGAAGCACAGTGGCCTCTCGACAGCCCCTGTATCCCAGGCCCTCCCTGGAACTTCTTTACCAGCTGCTCCAACCAGGCGTCTCCCACAGGGACCCAGAAAGGGGAATCCACAGACCAACATGCTAACCAGGTCCAGGAACAAAAGGCACAGCTTTGAGGAGATAGCCAGGGTGCGGACAAGCAACCAGCCAGAGCCCTGGGCCAGGGCGGGGACTGAGCACAAGGTGCGGCCACAGCCCACACCGCACCCACGGGAAGGCTGCTGCCTGGTGATTCCACTTTAGCCAAACTTCAGTCCCCAGTGTGGACCCCATGGCATCCCATTCCTTGTATATAGTCCAGGTTTATTCACTCCCTCTCAAAGAGGGAGAACCAAGAGCTTCACATTCATGGATGTTCAGACCAATAGAAGACTGCCTGGCACGCCTTCCTCTTAAGTGTGACTTCTGACAGCGTGTCACATCCTCTGTATCTTTTACACTTGAGGTTACAGGAGAGATGTGAACTCCAACCTCACATGGGCACTCGAGACGTGCCTGATTAGAACTTGCAGAAGCATGAGGGGCAGGGACCCGGCTTCGAGTCCCACCTGGTGGAACCATGATCCCTTTCTGCTGTCACTTTCCCATATGGCCAAGGAGCTAGTATCACCCTAGAGAGGAGCAGGCTGGAGGGGACCTGACAAGTGGGGAGAGCAGCCCCATTCAAAGGGAACAGCACCAGCCCACTGCCATGGGAGGAGAGATGGCTGTGGCCCTGACCCATCTCCTGTGGTTTCAGGAGAAGGTAGCAGGAAGCCCTGAAGCCGGCAGGCAGGACCACACTTCCGCTGCTTGTGTGACTGCATCACGCTCTCCAAGGGGATGTAGGCCAGATGGTCTCAACTCTAGCCTTCTTTCAAGCACCAGTGCAAAGCCCTGTAGCCCTTCCTAATTCTCCCTCCTGCCCTCTTCCCAACTCTGACAATAGGCTCCTCTCTGGCCAGAACCCCAGGCAGAGGTCAGGCTGTCAGCAACCGTGTGCCCATCTTAGGGTGGGGGTGTGATATCACAGCCCAGAGGCTGCTCCTATGGACATGATGTGTGGATGAGCCACAGTCCACGAGCTTGTTTTCTTAGGCCAGGCGCCCTGCCGTGGAACACACCTGAGACCACAGGGCCCACTCATGAACTCATCTGTTTGCTGATAACCTCCAGCTTCTCTGGAAAGCAGCCATGCCCCCTGCAAGGAGGGTGTTTGGCGTGTCTGACCGCCAGGTTACTGCGCGATGACGAGAGGCCCACAGGGAGGCCACGTGTGTTCAGTGGCACCTGCGGAGAGGAAGCTCAGAGGAACTCGCCTCTTCTGTGTGACTCAAGGCTCAGTTCGAGGAAACATCAGGCCAAACCCAGACCCGGTGACTGTTTGAGCCATCGCTGGCCAGACACTTCAGAAGCAATGCCAAGGTCATGAGACAGACGGGCGGCTGCCCCAGAGTAAAGGAGACCAGTGGCTGAGGTGGGGGGCCCGGGAACATCGTTGGCTGTAATGGACACAGTGGGACCGGCAGTGACATCTGAATAAGACCTGTGTATCAAAGCGTCAGGGTTGATACCTGATTTTCAAAATTGTATTGTGGTTATGGAAAGAAAATGCCTGTTTTTACGAAATATACACAGAAGTGTTCACCTTCAAAAACTTCAGAAAACAAATGCATATATGTACATCCCTACACACAGGTATGTGGGGAAGAAGTGGATCAAGCAAATACTGCAACTTTTCAGCAGTTAAGGCGGCTGGGTGAAGAATCTACAGTGATTCTATGCTAGGTACTGTTTCTGAAACTGCTCTGTAAGTCTGAAATTGTGTCAAAATAAAAATCTAAAAGGAAAAGGTGCTTAAAGAATCACTCAGTGGGCAGCCAGGAGGGCAGTCAGGTGTGAGTTTTCCTTCGTCTGTGGTTATTTAGTTGACAGCTCACGATGAGCCTCGGGACCCAGTGACCCCTGCGCCTACCTAGCAAGCTGGCCAGTCCCGCGAAGGGCTGCAGGCGCCGGGAAAGGCCGGGGCCGCGCCCGGGTGAGAAGCGCAATTGCATCCTTGGCGATTCCCGGGGCCTCTGGGGGCTGGAGGCTGCCCTCCCGCGCGAGCTCGGGGGCCCCCGGGCGGGGCTGGGGACTGCGCGCAGGCCTCGCCCTCCCGGGGGCCGGGCTCTGGTGTTCTGGGCGGCAGAGTTCCCGCGCCCCTGCCCTGCGGTCTGACTCGGGGCCCCTGGTCTCCGCACCCTGCCCCGCCAGACGCACCTGCTTGCGGGCGCGCACCACGCGCATCGCGCGGCTCTGGTAAGCGTCGTTGCTCCGCTTGTTGAACTCGCTGACCGCAAAGGACAGTGCCTCCTGCACGCCCTCCTCGTTGACGTCCGCCTCCATCAGGCCGCCCAGGAGGCGACCCTTTCTAGGGCCCTGCGCGGCCGCGGGGCTCACAGCCAGGGCCAGGGCGACGATCAGGGCGGCCAGCAGGAGCAGCGGGGAGCGCGGGGAGCCCACCATGGTCTCTCGGATGCGAACAGACTGCAGTCAAGTGGCGATCCCCGGGTCCGAGCACCGCACCGCGGCCCGCGGCACCTTTATGGCCTGGCCGTGGTGGACCGCGCCCGCCCCTCCCACTTGGCCCCGCCTCTTCCGCCCAGTTGCCCGGCCCACGTCCTCCTGCCTAGCCACAGCCCTCCCGGACTCTCCATCCGCGCGACCCTGCCGGCTCCTTCCCAGCCCAGGGCTCCTTCCCAGCCCAGCGCTCTTTCCCGGCCCAGCGCTCCGCCCCAGCCGAGCCCTCCTCCCGTGGTCCGCATCCGCCCCCAGCCTGTCCCGGTCCAGATCTTGTGCCCCGGCGCACCTCGAGCCGGCTCACCGCGTTCTTTCAGAGGGTGTCCCCTCTCCGGGCCGGCGAAACCTGTGCACCGATCTCTGTCTCCTGGTCTGAGAGGGCGTCTCGGCCTCCTGGCCGTCCGTGCGCCTGCTCCGCGTCTAGGAGTCCACGGAGAGCACTGCTGAGGTCTCCGAGGCAGAGGGAGGAAGACCTCGGATGCGCCCTGTCCAGGGGAAGTTCTTCGCCACAGCTCATCGGGTTCTCTTTCTCACAACTCGTTTACTTATTCAACCGCACACCTTGCTGGGGCTTCTCCCTGACCAAGGTGTCTGGGGCCTGTAGAGAGCCCCCGCTTGACCGAGAGGTAATAAGAACCTGTGTATAACTACATTTTGTAGAAGACACATTAAAAAGTGTAAGATGGTAATGATGACTCTATATGTGAGACAGCAAAGGAGACACAGATATAAAAAACAGAATTTTGGACTCGTAGGAGGAGAAGGAGAGGGGGGGATGATTTCAGAGAATAGCGCTGAAACACGTACATTACCATATGTGAAACAGATCGCCAGTCCAGGTCTGATGCATGAAACAGGGCACTCAAAGCCGATGCACTGGAACAACCCTAAGAGATGGGATGGGAGGGAGGTGGAGGGGTGTTCAGGCTGGGGGACATATGTACACCCATGGCTGATTCATGTCAGTGTATGGCAAAAACCACCACAATATTGTAAAGTAGTTAGCCTCCAATTAAAATAAATGAACAAATTTTTTAAATGTAAAAAGAAAAAAATGTATAATAACAATGCTTTTGATTTAACTCAGTATATCCAAAATGTTATTTCAACATATACAAGCAGTTGTGAATGACAACTTTTACACTCTTCTGTGTGTGTACATTTTACCCTTGGAGCAGGTGTCAAGGCCAGTAGGCTCTGTCTTCCAGAGGAAATGTGGTCTTGCCTGGCCCAGCTTTGGAGGGGTGGGGTGGGGTCAGTGATCAGTGATTAAGATCAAGGGGTGGTGGGGTGGTGTGTTGGAAGTGAAGGGTGAAATAGACATGGGTACCTCTGGACACTGGTCAGGGAGGCCTCTGAGAGGACAGACATTTGGGCTGAAACCTACCTAAAGGGCAAGAAGTCCTGCTGACACAGAGGAAGAGCACTTCAGGCAGAGGAAGAGCCAGTGCAAAGGCCCTGGGGTGAGACTGGGCCATCCTGCTCTAGAGACAAGAGACTGCTGATGTTCAAGCAAGGAAGGGATATGACTCAGAATCTCACCCTGACAGCTGGGTGCACCCTAAACCATGGGTGGGGGGACCTCTACCTCGTGGGTGTGGGAAAGACAGCCCCTGAGGGAATGGATAAAAGCCTGGGGGCTGCTCTCACACCTCTCCGCAGAGAGGCACATCAGTGGCTCTGGTCCTCTGTCCACTGCTTGGAAAACTTGCTTGATTCTTAAAAATCAACTTGAATGAGATATGACGCACACACAATAAATGCCTTATATTATGTGTCCCGACAGGAACTTTAGCAAATGCATACATTGGTATTACCGCCCCCCCAAGCTCTAGAACACTTCGATTAGCCTGAACGTTGCCTCCTGCCTCTCTGTGGCCAATCTCTTGCTCACCCCTGGGCTTGGATGATGTACACCCCTGTCTCTGTGGACTGAGGCCTTGCCTGCTCTTGAACTTTTCACAAATGACCTCATGCAGTGTGTTCCTCTGGATTTTGAGCATATAGACTTCTAAAAACAATACTTTTTATTTAACCCAATATATCCAAATTATCTCAACATATACAAGCAATTTTTGAGCCTCCTCTACTGTGTTAACCTAATGGTTGGTTCTGTTTCTCCCCAGACTGAGAGGATGTGGTCAGTTGGGTATTGACTGGGCTGCCAGATCCTTTTGTCCAGGACCGTGCAGATCCAGGCTGGAGAATGGCCCTGGGAGTGGAGGGGAAGGCTGTTCTCTAACCTGCACCCTGTGTGCCTGAAGGTGACCCAGTGACCAATGACCTAAAGAGATAGTGGCAGAAATACTAGGTGGCCTCTGGGCCTCTGGCAGACATCCAGAGGAGGACTCTCCCAGGAGTGGTCAAGGCAATGGTCAGTGAGCATCAGCCCACAGCCACTGTGGCCTTAGGGCTGGACCAGCAGGAATCTGGCATGAAATCCAGAACGATGTTAACAGTGAATATTTGTGTTCAGTATTTCTGAGACCCTGTTGCCTTGAGGCCCAGTTATAACTGTAGGGGGCAGGAAATTTTTCCTTATACCTTTCTAGGTTCTTTGGCTGGTCTAATAATTAAATTGCCATAAGACAGATTAACAAGAGAAAAATACATTTAACTGTATACATTTAGAAACCCCATAAAGGAAAGACACAAAGGCAATCAGGCAGTTGACGCTTATAAGCCACCCTGACCTAAGGAAAGGAATGGGGATCTGGGACTTCAAGCAGAGCAGGGGTGACTCATGGGAAGATGAGATGAGCAGGTGCTTGGGGATCAGATGTTAGCCCTACGGCATAGATTGCTCTTTCAAATAAATATATCTCTCTGGTAGTGTCTCTCTGGTATCTAAATTCCTTTTTGCAATTCAGAGGAGGTAAAAGCTTTTCCTGAGGCTGCTGGATCTTGATTCCTTCAGTTAAAAATACTCCACCTGCCATGGTGGCACGTTTAGGGGTGGTGTCTTCTGCCCCCTCCCCATCGCTCCGTGCTCTGACTCAGGTGTGTGCGTATGTGTGCTCAGTTGTGTCTGACTCTTTGCAACTCCATGGACTATAGTCCGCCAGTCTCCTCTGTCCATGGAATTTTCCAGGCAAGAATACCAGAGCCAGTTGCCGTTCCCTTCTCCAGGGGATCTTCCCAACCCAGGGATCAAACCCAGGTCTTCCGTGTTGCAGGCAGATTCTTTATCCCTGCACCACCTGGGAAGCCCAGGAGCCTCTGGAAAAGTCATGGCGCCCACTAAGTGAAGAAGGGTTGCCTTTGCAGTGCAGTAAGAGAGCGGAAGTGCTTTCTCAGTGAAGTAGAATAGAGGGGAGCTCCACCAAGGGGAGAGTGGGCCGCCACGGCCCACGCTTCTGAGCGGTGTGACTGTCTTTGAAGGGCAGGAACTGGTCCTCACCAGGGTTTCCCACCTCGAAGGTAGCTGGGGCTGCAGCCTCAGGAGGTGTGCTGGGTAGAGACGGGCAGGGTCCTCCCATCTGTGTCGTCAGGGAGGAGGTGCGGGGCAGCAGAGAATAGGGGAGCATGGCGGTGGGTGTGAATGTGTTGGGGCAGCCTGAATGCTGACCTGTGTGGCTGGAGGTCAGTTACATTGGTGATAGGCATTTTGATACAGAGACATCTCTTATTCCAGGAAGGGTGCCCACAGAACTGCCAGAGTGGCCTGCAGGACAGTCTGATGAGGCAGGGAAGGCTGGGCTTCTCCTCTAGCTGTAAGGGTGACCTTGGAAAATGTCAGAAGTCTGGTGAGGCTGGCCACTTTGTTAACCGTAGGGACTGGGGGTCAGGAACACAGACATGGGCAGGCTTTGGTGGGATGTGTAAGCATGGGTAAAGGTGACGGAGCACTCCTCGCTCTTACACTGTCGGTGGGAATGTAAATTGAAATGACCACTGTGAAGAACAGTATGAAGTTTCCTTAAAAAACTAAAATTAGAACTGCAGTATGACCCAACAATCCCACTACTGGGCATATATCCTGAGAAAACTATAATTAAAAGGACAGGTGGATCCCAATCCCAATGTTCCTTGCAGTGCTATTTACAACAGCTGGGACCTGGAAACAACCTGAGTATCCAACAGATGGGTGGATAAAGAAGATGTGGTACATATATACAATGGAATACTACTCAGCCATAAAAAGGAAAGAAATTGGGTCATTTGTAGAGTCATAGATGGACCTACGGTCTGTCACATAGAGTGAAGTAAGTCAGAAAGAGAAAAGCAAATATACTAACTCATGCATATAGAATCTAGGTCTTCCCTGGTGGCGCTGATGTAAAGAATCTGCCTGCAATGCAGGAGACCTGGGCTTGATCCCTGGGTCAGGAAGATCCTCTGGAGAAGGGACTGGTTACCCACTCCAATATTCTTGCCTGGAGAATCCCCTGGACAGAAGAGCCTGGCAGTCCATGGTATTACAAAGAGTCAGACATGACTGAGCAACCAACATACATATGGAATCTAGAAAAATGGTACAGATGAACCTAGTTCCAGGGCAAGAATAGAGACCCAGATGTAGAAAATGGACTTGTGGACACAGAGGCCAAAGGGGAGGGTGGGATAAGTTGAGAGTAGCATTGAGAAATATACACTACTAAGTGTAAATTAGATAGCTAGTGGGAAGCTGCCGTATAGCGCAGGGAGCTCAGCTCAGTGCTCTGGATGACCTAGAGGGGTGGGATAGGAAGAATGGAGGGAAGTCCAAGAGAGAGGGGACATATATATGCATATAGAAGATTCATTTTGTTGCACAGCAGAAACTCACACAACATTGTAAAGCAATAATCCTCCAAAAAATTTTTTAAAAAATGAGCAGTCCATGGCTTGGGGTCTGTGACCTGTGGCTCCTGGGATAAAGCAGGAACCCAGAGAGAAAGAGTGAACTGAAGTTGAGGTAGGGGGTTCTGGCACCCAACCATCAAGTGCAGCGTGGAGGGCCACATGTCTGCACAGGAGGTGAGTGTGTGTCCTTCTGCTGGGTGAAGAACAAACCAGTCGTGTTTCCACAAAGCTGTGTGTGTGACTGCTGATCTCATGATCTGAGTTAGCAGCGAGGAATTAAGGCGAGAGAGTGACAGAAGTTCTCTGAAATTAGTAAGCAATCATAAATGGATACAAAGTAATACTTTAACAAATAAGTGACCAAGTGCATAAAACATTTCCCCAAAGTGTAATTGGCCACATCAAGTAGCTAAGAGTTGAAATTCTCAGCACTGGGGCTTTTAATAATTAAAACCTGGTGTCCAAAGAGTGGGCTTGCCTGAGCTTGCCAGGTGGTAAAGAATCTGCCTGCCAAGTAGGAAACCCAGGTTGGATTCCTGGGTTGGTAAGATCCCCTGGAGGAGGAAGTGACAACCCATTCCAGTATTCTTG